TATATATATATTGGGGCAAGGGACTGTTAATTGTCATATTTCGTGAGAATCACCCATGGATGATTCTTAGGAAACATGACAATTCGGACCAAAAAATTTCTTCAAATTTAATGTCTTCAAAATAGTTCAAATATTTTTTTTTATATATATACTTCTTTAGTTACATTTATTAATATCTTACAGGCAGCAGTGTAGTTTATGGACATTTACTCGCGAAAAAAAAAAAATAGAAATTCACCAAATCTTGAATGCCAGGAAAATGACATATTAGCTTAGAAGTTTAAAAAACATTCATTTTAAGTTAATAGTAAGCAATTCAACTTAAGCCTTTACGTTACATGGACCATAAATTGCTTAAATTAATTATTTTTATCCATTGTAGAAAGAATCAAATTTTTTTGTTGTTGCTGATATGTACAGAATAAAATTGTGTATAATAATCAATCATTAAATAAATAAATAACTTTGATTACATCAAAGCGTATTACAATCATACATAAACTTGGTATTAGGTTAATATTTGTTTTCCCTCTTTACAGTATTAGCATTTTAAAAAGTTTTCTGGTAACACGTCAATGTCCTGTCATTCATTAGCCAGGAAAATGACAGCCAGGATAATGACAAATTTGCCCTTTTATAGCATTTAACTTTACTTTAATTTAACACTTTGGCCTAAGACGTTTACATTCCGCAGAAAACAACAGGATTTCTTGAAATAACTCAGATAAATCTTTATAGTTTATGCTATTAATAATTTCAAGAAGACAGGAAATTTTTTTGAAATTGATTTTGAACCAGAAAGTTGGTTCTTTATTCATGCAACAAGACATGTTCATATAGGATGGTATCTAATCAATCTATTAACATGTTGGCTCTATCTATTTTGGTTATAAATCACTAAATAAAAGTAGCCAGGAAAATGACAGATTTTCATGTGACAAACAAATTATTGTTAGAAAAAATTATTTTAAATGAAGTTTTAGTAAAGAATACCCTCTGCGTATATTCTAGAAATGCTTACAACGGTTGAGATAAAAAAAAAATTAGATATTGAAAAATTTTTGCGAAGTTTTGAAACTAGTTATTATTGGAAATATTGTTTGTGACATACCATAAACATGACATTTTGAAATTCAATTAAATTATTTAACTATACAAAACANTGACATTTTGAAATTCAATAAAATTATTTAACTATACAAAACAGTCAATGTTAGTCCAAAGTCATTTTAAAATGCTACCAGCAATGCTATTTATTAATTTAAAAAAAAAAAGTTCTTTTAGCATTATAGTATTAGATTTTGGAGCAAGGGACTGTGAATTGTCATATTTCGTGAGAATCACCCATAAATATGTTTCGGTAGAACAGCTAAGATATACTGTTTTATTGTTCTGTTGTTGCTGTCGTAGGCCATTACGGCAAGGGGGCGTCATTGTTCTTATTTCCCAGTGGAGCCATCTATGGTCAAGAATTTGACTTCTGATACACCCATACGTCACACCAGTTTATAAGGCGGACCCATTCTTATGTCTATTTATTCATCTTCAGTTTGTAATTTTAACCTGAACCAGAGAACGATCAATCTCCAATTCAGTGCTCCCAAAGGTATAATTTGTTATGGGGACACGGAGGACTTTGTTACCCGACAGATTTAATGTGTAGCAGTCACCATTTACTTCCTATCGTTAAATAATTCATTTACTGTTTCTCCTTTTTCATCCTAAAATATTTTTGATTTTAAGATGAAAAAAGGAAAGCTGTAAGCAATTGTAACGATAGGGGAAATAAGATAAAATAAACATGTGTTAAAATTAGATAAAATAAGATATATTGAGAGATTTTTGTAAAAAAAATTTTTTTTTTGATGTATTTAATATGTTTAGCAAATAATTTTAATATATTTTTTTAGAAATTATAAATAAAAATTGCTCTTTTATTTCGCCTTAAAAAACAAGAATATTAATGTTTCTTTTATGCTCAGTTGTCAAGTGACAATGATTTAATTACATAATTGAAATCTGTTTGGATGTAACATTTAATTGCTTGAAACAGTTAGAAAAAATTTAACTTATTAAAACTATTAGAAATCAAACTTATTCTTTTATTTTGTTAAGAGCTGCAGAAAAAATGAGAAAAAATTGTGAAAAGCCCCGTTTACCATCATACTTACTATTCATACATTTAATCGTATAACGTGAGTTATTTAAGTTGAAAAAATTAATTAATGATAAATAAAATGAAGAGTAAAATATAAATTCCTATGAAATATGTATTTAAGTATACACTGAAACAAATATAGAATAGATTTTGAATTGATTAATAAATATTTTCCGAAAATCTCGATGGAAGCGTTAACTTATACGAAATAATTGACTTGTAACTACATAAGTTAGATTTCAGTAGAGTAGAGTCATTCCATTGTTTCATTCAACTTTTGAAATTTCATTTGTAGACGGAATTGTTTAACATCCAAAAAATGTTTTTCAGAGCTGCTGCTGTCAAAAAAATAAATAAACCAATAAAATAAAATAAATAAATAAAAATGTTCTGCTTTTGAATTTTTAGAAAATTTGATGAATAATGTAGTATTATGTGTTTTTCTCAATCAAAGAGCCATAACCATTGTCTTACGTAAAACTAATTTTAATATCTCATTAAATATTTTAATTTAATACACTGCACCATTAAGTGGATAATTCTCAGAAAGTAAAGCCGTAAGATAAAAATTTCATTATTTTAAAAACATATGAAAATGTAAAAATTCTAAAAATTGTAATGTAAAAATTCTAAAAATTGACATGTTTTGAGCATTCAAAATTTCACGTCACTAGTCGTTAACGTCCTCCTGAAAATGCCAACGCTTAAAGCATATGTTTAGCGGGCTCAAAAGACTAAAGGACTTAATTAGACTAAAAAAACACGGTAGATAAGTCCGTTTTCAAGGATACGATAAATCTATTGCTACACATTCTTTGCATCTTGGGGATAGATTTAATCTCGATAATGCCGAAATTCTAACCACCTTTGTTACAGCAGCTCATCTTGATACCCGGGAATCTAGTTTTTTTCTTTTTAATATGAATGTCGATTCTCTTGCTAATGATATTAGTTTCGCACCAGCTCTCTATGGAGCTTGGAAATACATTTTTACCTGACTTGCCTTTCACGGCTACTGCGGTTTTGTTTTTATTTTCTATTTCACTCTTGGAGTACTACGGTTTTTACAGTTTTATTTTCCATTTTTATTTATGTAAGCTTGTGGTAAATTCACATTTTTGTCTTATGTCACTTTTTTTCCCCTTCATTCACATCGTGCGATTCTTAAGAATGGGCGTTTATTTTCTTTATATTTTTTGAACCCAGTGAAGTTTTTACCATTGAGTATAATGGAATTTTCTTTATCGTTATCTTGATCAGAATCTTATGCTGAAAAAAGAACAAACATCTATAAATTATTATTTCAGCAGGGCTCATGCGGTCCTTTAAACATTTTAAAAACCGGGGCACCTATATTGAAATAAAGTAGCTATTTCTATCTTTAAAATTGAAATTTCACTACCATATATTTGAAGTTATACATTGAAATTGATTATTTAATACTGCGGTGAACATGACCGTAATAAAATACTAAATTGGTCTTCTTAGTTTTGCTACCACTATTACAGTTTCTTAAGGACCTGACGAATTCTGTTAAAGAGGAGACTATCGTATCAGATATATTTATGTAATGATGGTAAGAATCGTGAAATAAGTTTGCAATAAAAGGAATAAAGCGAAGAAATTATCGTAGCAATGTTTCATAATCGTAACTGTTAAACATGTCGAGCGACATTTTACGGGGAATTTGTGAAAATTCGTTTCAGAATGTATAAAAACATCAGGATGCTACTTGAAATTATCTTCATCTACTAAAAAAAAAAACCACGTGACTCGTATATTTGATAGAATGAAACGATTTTTTTTAACACATGAATCATACAATACTATTCTTAAACATAAATTTTTCAATTTTTTTAAAATGTCACGTAGCATTCACTAATTTCTTCAATTATGAAAAAAAGAATAAAACCGTAAAAAATAAACGAAATATATATAAAACCTTGTGAACGTGCATTCTTCCAGATATTTTAAAATTTTTACGGGATCTTTTTTGTGATTTATTCTACAACCCTGTATATTATTAAAATAATGCACATTTGGTTTTAGTATTGAATCTTCATACTTATAGAAGTTAAAAAAAGTTCATGTGCTTAAGTACTAAAATCTTGGAAAATTATAAATAATTTGTAAATCAATTCAAATTTTATTTTTAAAAAAGATGAAAAGGAAAACAATCTTTGTTTCTTGAGCAGAACTCAAATGTGTTGCCTAGAAACTCGATTTTGAGGGTCAGAACCCAAATTAGTAAAAAAAATATATGTTTATATCGAAAAAGTTCGTTTTAGTCTCTGATTGTGATCCACCCAATGAAGTAACAGGGGTTCGAATCCCAGCGATGGCTGGTTGATACGAATTCAGCACCCACCTCAATGCTGACTTTAAAATATGCTCAGTGGAAGACCGAGGATGGGTCTCCTTGCTGTTAGGCTAACCATGATAGGTTTCAGTGGATTTCCTTTCCATGTAAAGCATTTTCAAGTAAGTTCCATCAAAATGTCCTCCACGAAGGTAGATTTCTCTCACTACTTGATCCAGGAGTTTTCTTGTCTTCTGGGTTGGGTTCCAAATTTTAAGTTGAATATTGGTAATTGTAAACTCAAAATTGGGTAGGCGACGGTTATAAAATAAAATACTTCTGGAAGTACTCAATTGGAGATTGATAGTTCTGTGATTCGAGTCGAAATTACGATCTGGGGATGAGTAAATGGAGTATGAATGAGTTTTCCTTTTAAAATGGGCTGTGACGTGTGTGTGTGTGACGGAAGCCGTATTCTTGGCTATAGATAGCGTCACTGAAAAAAAAGAAGGAAACGTATCCTCTGTCTTAAATTCGCTTGGTTTCCTATAACAAGCTTGCTGATATTAGCAAGTGGCAAAAGTCACTACAACAACATTTACCATATAAGCCATCTTTTTTATTTTCAAGATTTTAATAAATCTCAACCTTTATCAGCAATGGTTCAGCGGAATGAGGGGATCCGGGTTTGAATCCCAGCGATGGCTGGTCGATACGAATTCCGCACCTGGCTTGCTCCGACCACAGTGCTGACGCTAAATATCCTCAGTGGTAGACGGATGGTGGGGCAGAGTCCCCTTGCCGTCAGACTAACCGTGGGAGTTTCTCGTGGTCTTCCTCTCCATGTAACGCAAATGTGGGCTAGTTCCATCAAAATGATCGAAGGCAATTTACTCCCAATATTTGATCCAAGAGTTCCCTTATCTTTTGGATTGGGTTCAAAACTACAAGGCTACGTAGTTAAACATTAGTAGTCGTAATCACAAAAATTTTGTCAGCTGTTCAACGACAATTGTAAAATCTCAGCCTTTACTTTGTCAATGAAAACGATAACATTGAAAAAAATAATGCTTTTTTTTTCAGTATCCGGTGAATGCTGTGGTCCTCATTCCAATTGTACTGTAGGAGTTAATGGAACTGAATGCAATTGCTATTTTGGATTTTACGAAGTAAATAGAACATGCCAACGTAAGTACAAATATGCACTAAACTTTCATATAAATGATGCCTTCTCATCATTGGATTTACCATTTGAGCTAATAATTTCAAGTTTAAGAACATGCTTTCGTATCCATTTTCGTATTCTAAGGATATGTGACATTTTTAACACTAAGTGTGCATTAATTTGAAATGCTTGAATACGCCATCTGGGGGAGAAAAATCCTTCTTCCATGTCTTCTTCTTTTCCATCTTCTCAATTGTAGGGGAAATGATATTTTCCCTTTTCTTAATTTTTTTCGTAATTAATTGTCAAAAACATTTTTTTTTAATTCTCACGACTGGAATTTCTTTAGAACTCTATGTTCAATGCAATTTCAGTCTCGATATACAATATGTTTCCTAATTTAAAAGTTTTCAATTTCTATTTGATTAATCAAGACAGAAACTAGCGTACTTCCTTCCCCATATGACACTCCACTGGTGAGAGCATGCGAAGTGTTGCCATAGGTTGAGAATTCTGCTTCACGACAACTGCAGCCCATTTCGATGATATCTTGCTAAAAATAAGGAACAATTATTATTTTCAATTTAGTCCCGCAGTGGACTGATCGTTAAGACACGGTTCCCGCAGATCACCGAAGTTAAGCATCACTGGCTGCGGTCACTGTGCGGGTGGGTGACCACTTGGATCAGTCTGAGTAGGGACCGAGGCTGTGCGGTATGGGTCCTCGTTAAACTGTGCTACCGTAAAGTGTTCGACTTCGCGCGCAGGTCGTCGGGCTACCGAAGCGGGGGTGCCATTCCCTCCGCAGAGGATCAAAATTGTGATGGCATGTCTTCGGATCATCCTCCGGGATGTTTCCCAGACCGTCGCCAATAGCCCATTGTGCAGCTCTAGTGCGGCGTAAATTAACAACAACAACAACATATTTTCAATTTAGACTTTGATCCAATAATATTTTAACTGGTGACCGCAATAATTTTTTATTTACATTTCAGCGTAAACTAAATCCTTACCCATATTGTCGCGTTGTAACTTTTTATTTCATAAAATTTCGAGTGTTTTTTTTAAAATTTATATATGAAATAAGTATGTGTGTTTTTCGTTGTCGCCCATCCGAGAATGATTATTTTCAAGAGAGCTTATTATATGGGGGATAAATAATGAAAATGATAATTTGTTGAATATAGAAATATTATATATATAGATATGCAAATACAAAAGGTAGAAAGAAATTGTCTCAAAGTTTTTTCGCTATAATGTGCATCATAGTTTCGCAAATCGTCCTGAAAATTTGCACTAAGCTATTAAACGTACAAACATAGCTATTTCCTGACACTAAAAATTTGAAAAATTCATAAATTTTTTTTTTCTTTTTTGCAAAGGAGAAAATATTTTAACCTGTAAATAATCTATACTATTTTAATCAGGTGTGTATAATTCATTAGAGTTGCAAATTAAATTGAAAATGAAATGACTGAGAGATACGTTACTTAACTAGATTTGTGCTAATAATATAAGTTTCAGATACTCGCTGCGTCCCACAAAATCACGGTTTAAAAATGCTTGCGTCAAAATTAGAGTGCGAGTAAAAATATTTTTATTAGTCGTCAACAATTTTTGTTTCGCTTTTCATCTCAGTGAAAGCTGAAGAAAACCTTCAGCTTTTACGTCTCGCAAACCCAAAACCAGGATTGCCAAATAATATACTTTTTGCTGAATACTTATAAAGCGATAGACATTTAAAACCCAAAGCTTACGGAATTTAAAAATTTTTTCTAGCATTCTTGAAAGCCTCATCGTAAAAATACTGGAACAAAGGGGCGTTGAAAATGAACTTTTAAATCATTTATGTGTTCTGGTGTTTTAAATAAGTTTAATTGAATAAAAAAATTATACATTAAAACATATAAATAGCATACCACTAGAATAAAGTTTTACAAAAAGTGTAGAAAGTAGAAAGCATTGCTTCACTATAACACACCACCTTGGATCTCGCCGAGTAAGGTTGTTTTATGACCAAGCTCTGCACTACCATGTCATCTCGTCGATTTGGCTGCGGAGGGAAGGTTTTCCGACCCTACCGTGTTCCAGAAAATCATGTATATATCGATGCGATTAGGAAAGAAACGATATCTCCGACAACATACAAAAGATATTACTCAACTTTGATATAGAATTCGATGATGTCAAAAGTTGTGCAAGAAACATAGATGCTGAGATTGAAAGAGTACGCGGAAGATCAACCACGAAAGCATATCTCGAAAACTGCTACAGATTGAAATTCCGTCTTGAGGAAATGCTGATTTTAAAAGCATCTAGAGACTCCCAAAATGTCTCACCTCCTGACCCTGAAACGGAGACAACAGAGTCTGAAATAACCCCAAAAACAGATGTCTGCATAGAGACGGCAAAGAACTCAACAGTTATCCAGACAACAACTCCAGTTGATACTCCAATAATCCCAGATGAGCCAACCCTAGTGGAAGCTGCTGATAACATCGATAAGCCAATCTCTACTACCATCCCAGAGACTGACTCCACCACTTCAAAATCCAACAAGAAGAAGAAGAAAAGAAAGAAGTGCAGTGTCAACACAGAATCTAAAACAGAGAGCGAGCCCCTTCACCCGGAAAAAAAAGATCGCCTCCACACCTACAGAGGAAGATTCCTCACCCGATTCAACTACAACTGCAGCCATCGTCGAGACTCCAGTGGAAAATAACGAGCTGATGGAAATTCTACAATCCACCCGTAGAAATTTGAAAGCCCTGATCCGAGCTCTTAGCTAAGATACCGAAATCCCTGATCTCGAAAAAGAACTTAAACGTTTAGAGCAACGGCCAATCAGAATTGAACAGCTGAAGAAGAGGCGGGGCCAGGAACTTAAGCTCCTCCCTCTCTACCCAGTCATCTTGCCAGATAGGGGAAATCACAGAGATCAAGATCATCAATATCAAGAGACTGGCAGATACTCCTGTTAAGATAGAGAGATTTCGTGGCGGGAGCCACGAAATACAGTTCATCCGATGTCAAAAGTTCGGACACACACAAAAGTCATGCACAGCTGAGCCTGCTTGTATGAAGTGTGCCAATGCACATTTCACATTCAAGCGCAGAAAACCAACAAGCGAGCCTGCGAAGTGTGTAGACTGCCTAGGTGTGCACTTAGCCTGTTTTTCGGGCTGCGGCGCAAGAGATAAAAGAAAATCCAGAGGACGATTCACGAAGCCTACAAAAGCCTCGGACAAAGCCACCAGATTCTTGCTGTTATTTAAAGAAATGCAGCAACTTCTCAAAGATCCAGATCTCCTGAATTTACTCCGATCTCTGCTTGCCGACAAGTTATAGACTCAGAGATCTCCTCAAAGCCCAACATGTTCTTCAAGACGTCCACAGCCATCCTGCGGAAAATTTTTCTTTTCATTTTAAAGTCACTAGTCATCGTTGCTCTAGGGCAGGGATGGCGAACCAATGGCACGCGACACAATATTTTGGGCACGCAACCAATCACAAAGTTCACTATGAAGCATATTAACAATTCAATTAAAATTCACAAAAAAAGAACAATTAATGCCAAAAAAGCAATTAATAACCATAAATTACAAGCGAACAATAAATAACTAGCATAAAAAATTAACAGTTCTGCTTAAACTAACATCTTATAACCCTAATATAAGTTATTTGTTATCTATTCTGCAACAACAGAAGTCACACTGATGTTACTTTAAGTCGAATTACGCGTATAACTGAGACATTGCCTAAGTTGAGAATTGCATTTATTCGTAGTAAATAAAGAGTTTTGAGTTGATAGTATTTAGTATTATTATTTACCCAATAATCACGAAGTCAAAACTATTTGTCGGCACGTCTATGACTTCATTAAAATATATTTTTAAAAAAATGGCACGTTGGTGCATGAAGGTTCGCCACCCCTGCTCTAGGGTTATATTACAGATGAAGAAGTGAGGTGCCCGCGTCCGCGGACGGGTACTTCGGAAAAACTCATATCCAAAATTCACTATATTTTTAAGTACACATTGTAACATTTAATTGTAGAAGTCTTCTGAGTTCATTAAAACGTTTTTTTTTTTTCAACATCGTTTGATGCTGATTTTCGTATAGTTTAATTTTGTTCAACCAGAGGCTCTAACTATTTCAGTTTTCTGTGATTTTTTTTCTCCAAAGGGAATGAACTAATGCAGAATCGTCCGATTCAGACACAATTTTTGTAAGAATTTGTTAGATTTGTCTATAATACCTTTACACTAAAGTTTGCTTTATATTTGAATGTGCATAAATGGGACGAAGGACTTAAAATATGCTTTTACCTCTAATTAATTAATGCATTAGCCTACCACTACTGGAGAAAATATTATCTGAAACTCTTATTTTTACTTCTTACCTCTAAGGATTTTCAAAAATAATTACTTTTGCGGCACTGCATTAGTTTTATAATTATTCTTTTTTCATTTTGTAAATTTTATACATATTTTAACTCCTTCTTTCTTCTCGCTATTTCTTATTTCTGTCAGTATGAATTACGTCATTAACCCTTTCGCGCCGACTGTCACAAATACGTGACAGCATAAAACCGTATCAATCAGGGTAAAAAGATAAAACTAGTAATCAAAGTAATTTTTTTAGCAGTTTATTTGTGGGCGGAGTTATAATTGTTTGATTTATTTAATTCACCATTACTTTGTTCAAAATAAAACTATTTAGTTATACTTTGAATTAACATTGATTATATATATGATTAAACTAACAATAATTAAAGTAAAAGCAAAGTAAGTCTGTCAAATTAGCAACGATTACACTTAAGTTACCGTTTTTTACAACTTGATTCTGATTTTGTACGAATGCTTTTCTGAATCACCCGTCCCCAAGGGGTTAAATAAGAATGAAATCAGTTCCTGAACAACCATAGTTGTCTCATTTTGTATTGTAATATCTGAATTGGATATAAGAAAAGTAACGCCTACCTTCCATTCAAAACATTTACTGTTGTTATTTCCCAGTAATGTAATAAATGTTATTTTATTCATTTATTACATTGCAGGAATAAATGAATAAAATAACATTTACTTTAATCAGTATCAATTGAATGATTAAATAAGAATAAAGTCAGTTGCGTTATGCCGTTATAGTTAATTCATTTAGCATTCTCATTTATGAGTTACGTCTACTCCCAAAGG